CAGCCGGGGTCTCCTGATCTTGATTTAAAACAGATTAACTTCCGGTTTTTTCTCTGTTTTTGTGCGTTTTTATCGGTGAACAAAGAAAACGTTCTAGGAGAAAAAAAATCGAGGAGGAGGACGAAACGAGGAGGGTAAAAGTAAGCGAACGAATGGATCCGAATACAAGTTGGAAGGAGAAGGATCGTCGGGGCGGCACCTGACCGGAAAGCGTCACAGTCAGCGCATTCAGCCTCGTTCTTTCCTTTCCCTTCACCTCGGGCTTTGCCTCTTTCGCCAACCTTCCTCCTCCTCCTCCTCCTCCTCCTCCTCCGTCATCTCCACCGATCAAGGGTTGCTACTCGTTCCTTTTACCTCGCAAACCGAAACTGTCTGCTAACCGACAACCTGAAGAACCCTATGCTTCGTACGAATGGCACACCACTTTCGCCTCGCACCTATCAAATTACGCGTTTGATCGTTAATTAATTGGTTCGAGATCGTCATCAGTTTGCGGTTTGTCGGAACAAACAAGAGACTCGACACCCCTTAACGCTCCCTGCCCGAGTCAAACTCGGTTTAACGTTGTAATTAAATGGAACGTGAAGGGGTTAAGTCGGTGGACTGATAAAAATAAATTTATTTCCAATAAAGGAGCCCGACTCGTCGTCGATATGCGCGTAGCCTAGCTTGACTGCGCAACGAACGTCGATCTATAAAAATGTATGACGGTGGCCAAAAGGTGGCTTTGCAAACGAACGAGACGAAGAATAAGAGAAGGTAGCGAGAAAAGGATGAAACGAGTAGGTAAGGACACATAATAGCAGGATGTTACAACGCCCGTGTCCGGTACATAAGTATCTGGTTTCATAAATGAAAGTGTCTTCATTCATAGATACATATTTCCATACAATTGCCGCTATTGGTTCGTATCTTATGATATCGCCATTATGTGTGGCCCGGTGCATTACATATGTACATAGCACCATTATATACAAATTCCTAGTAATGCACCGCTACTGCTGCATTCGTGATAAAGTTGTTTCGATATTGTGATATTACGGGGACGTTCGCGTTTTCCTGGATGGAAAAAACGCGTCCACGACGAGGGATAAATCGGAAAAAATTGTTTAGCGTACTCTAAGAACGTGCTCTCCAGGTTAATATCGTCGGTAGTTGTTCGGTTACTTTTAGGACGTGAAAAGTATAATAGTGATCGAAGTAGAAATAATTAAAGACTATAGCGCGTGCTGGCACGGAGGGGCCCGCGCGACGGAGGATTCCTGCAACGCGTTCCCTCGTTACATCGAATAAATCTACCTCGATGACGCCACCGCGCACGATGGACGCGCCCTGTGAGCTAGGTAGGAAGTCATCCTTCCTAGCATCCACAGTCCACACAGGAAATCTCAGACGCACCCACCGAAACAAGCCCGCCCCCTCCGTCGGAGTCGATTTAATGTTTCGTTTCCTTTACGACGATAAGGGGCTACAATTTTCGCCCCGCGAGGACGGTACACGTACACGGGTAAAAAATAAAAAATACATTAGGAAAAGAAACGTTTCCAACCTGCTGCGTTAAATGTAAACTGTGTATCTTTTTAAACAACGGGCCCACGTGTCTGGAAAAGTTTCAATGGCATCGGTAACTTTCTCTCCGTCTTGTGAAATAAATATTACGTCTAATTGGGTCGATTGTCGGGTGTAAAATGCGGCTGTGTCGCGTAGTGGACGTCTGTCGGGAGGTCTCGTTAAGGTCTCGTCGTCGAGAATAGAGAGAGGACGGAAGGGCACATAATAATACCCGGGCACGATAGTAAATTTGATAAAATAATACCCTCCTCGGGGCTGCATATTCATTTTTCCGGAGGGTTCTCCCCACGGTAACCAGTGTCCGGGCCGAGTCGTCTACATATGTATGAGCTTCTGGTGGACCCGGTGGTTATGCCTCGGCGAACGCGAGCTTTCTGCCCTTTATTTTCACTGGCAGCGTCTCCTCTACCCCCCCCCCTTTCCGCAGCTTCGAATAAACCAAAAGAGCTGACCTGTAAAAAATAAAAGAGTGGGTAAACCGGATGATTAGCACTCCTCGCCTAGCTACCTTCCTTCCGTGTGCAAGCTGCGTGACGATGCCCGACGATGCTTTCGATTATGCTTGCATACGTGTACGCGATAGATTTCGAAGTACTGCAAGTTTTACAGCGACGCCGTGAAAAACTCGGAAAAGAGAAACGTTGTACATGGGTTAGTTTTCAAGCTATCGGTCTGCGGTCTTCCATACCACGTTTTCTTTTTACCGGGCAGTTTTCCTCGCCGTCTAAGAAAAGCAACGCGCGCTCGCTGGCTTGCATTAAAGAGCAATTAGCCGCGGCTCGCGAGCACGCTGATGCCCGGAAGCGATAGAAGCGGGCCGCGCGTGCCACCCTTACCTTTTCTTCCTCTACCGCGAGCGCGCTAGTACCTGTTCGTTCGTGTTTCCACACATCGAAACCGTTCTGTTCGAAGGCGTCTTACCAGCAGCCGAGTCCGCAGGGTACACCACGACTTCCCCTGCTACCTTCATCGGGCTCGTAGAATTATTCATCGACGCTACGCCATATAACGTATGCGACCAGAGAAGAAAACAGTTTTCGCGATCTAAAAATTTCACGCCTATGCAATCGAACGTTTCGTACAGTTCGATTTTAACGAAACGATTGTTCGAGTCGTTCTGTATCGTGGCTGGCGAAATACCAAGGATCGGTGATCATCGGTGATCCCCTTCTTTATTCATCGCCTCGATCTTCCATGCCCCTCTATTCCTCTGGCTGGCAGCGTAACAGCTCGCTCAATTACCGTCGCAGATAATCATTATCGCGGAAACTGCATCGCCGGGCCTCATTGCCCCAATCCTTAATTAACCGGCGGCCAGACGGTAATTGGTACAAGCCGGTGTACGACACTCGATCCATTGGCGAGAACCGGGGGCACGTGGTGAATAACGTACTTGCGTATATCCGCCGACTTCTTCTCTACTTTACGTACGGACAAGCGTAACGATGGAATTTTAAGCTTCCTCGATAACGAATCGGTGACCTACTTTTTTTTACGCGTTCTACGAGTACACGTATTTTAACGTGAATCCCTTTTGTCACGGATTTAGAAATCTATACATTTGAATTTTATTTCTCCAAACAAAATCGCATCGAGACACTCGTATAGATACCAGAATAATAGAGTTCGTAACACTTTTCTCAAGCTTTCTTCTCGCATATGTGTGCATACCAACGCCTAACCCGTGTCACGACAAAATGGATAACTGTTAAAAACTCGACGCAAAACTAAATATTTAAATTTCGAGTTAAAAATTAAGTTCCGGTCCGCCTCTGCTCGGAATTAACGGCAGTACTATACCGGAACAAAGGAGCAAACCAACAGGTTAAATTATAAATCACCGTGCATCCAAAGCGCTGCGACTCTGTATAGTGTGTAACTGTCTTCTAAAACTGGTTTTATTTTTCAATAGAAATTCTCTATCGTAAATTTCCTTTCGCAGAAATTATACGTTACCGCGGGGCCCCGCGATATGTAAATCGCGTCGTAATAATCGTTAGACAGCTTAATTATTGGGCTGCAAACGTCTCCGATTGTCGGGAATAAAAAGATCGCCCGTAGATTCGTGTAACGCTCTTCCACGGTCAAACATGGCGGCGCTCTTCTAGCGTCTTCGTCCCGATAAAATGCAGGATGAATTTAATACCGTAACTTGCACGCGCGTCTTCTACACGCAACAGCCACGCATGCTACGGTTAATTGTAATTTATGCTCCAACGACTTAGATCTACATCTTCCATGGTTACTTCATTTACTATATAGTCTGCACTTTTTGTCTCCGCGGTGTTTGATTAATTTCGCGAAATAACCTGTTTAATTAATCGGCAACTAACTCATGAAACACCGTACCCACGGCTTCGTGATATTATTCACTGTGCCCCGCGATGCTAAATAGCCAGGAGCTAGTCCGCGTGGCTGGATTCTTCTCGGCCCTCGACTTCCGTCTGGCTTATGAAAAATTTATCGTACAGTCGGATTAAGTTAATGATCGTGCAGCAGTTCGATTAAACAAGGAATTAAATATTCTTTTACAGACTATTTACCATATAGTACGCTTGTAACTTCTGCAAGCCTGCGGATTTCTGTTAGCCTCGTGTTGGACGTAGCCAAGCCCAAAATCCATCGTTACAAATACGTATGCCTTGAACACAGTATAAAATTAATCATCTTCCTCCTCGATCTCTTTTTTTTTTATTTAATTTAAATATATAATCTATAAAAGATTACGTTAAATTGTGTTATCGCAAACCGCGTACGTCTCGGCAGAATCTTAATGTCTTTATTTCCAGCTTTACGTCTTTTAGCAGAACGGTTGGATTTTTGTAACGGATCTCGCTTTGTTTCGATCGCTGGCAAAGAAAAAGGACCATTATGATCGAAACCCTGCTGGGAATAGGCTTACCAAGGATACCTACGAGCAAAGGCCGACGATTATTGAGCGGGCAGAGATAAAAGGTCGGTTTGGCTCCCATAAAGCAAACTGCACGCGGCTCCACTTTATGCTGATCGATTTGTGGTGATTTTATAACTTCGCCTGTCCATAGTTGTTCTCGTAAAGACGCCACGGTTCAAACGGGCCGCGGATATTTTATATCCGCGGCGTAAACGCAAAACGGACCTTTACATACTCCCAGACAGAAACAGTACGATACTCGGTGGCTTTCTTTCGAGAATTTTCTTCCAACCGTAATTGCAGATTGCGTTGCCTCCGAATGGCTTTCAACGTCGACTAGTAACGACGCTTCTTACATGCTAATAGGAATTTTTCTTTACTAAATCAACACTCTCGTTTTATTTCGGAAAATGTATATGTATTCCCCTTTCCTTTTTATTGTCTTATCGCATCTATAAACATAATACATTGTACGCACTTAAGACATAGAAAATAGTTACATCCTATTACCATAAGAATACATATTGGAACTTGACGTGTAGGAAACGATATAATTTACTTTTAATTCTCTTATACTGTATAGATAATATTACACGATTGACAATTACACTCCTCATCTGAATTGCGAGTTTACTTCGTAGTCCTCCAAGACCGGAGAAATATTTTATGCTAGGCTTTACCTTACTATAATACGTCTGTTACGAGAAACCTATATTCTCAGAAAGGAACCCTGATGCAGATACTTTACCGAGTATTAAGCTGCCGTAAACGATACCTGATGGGGTTTTGCATTCAAAAGTTAAAAAAATATTCTTCGCGCCTGCATTATTTTTACCATCTATTTAATAGAGATCAGAACACAGTAGTCTTTTAGACTTTATATATAGTATATATATATATATATATATATATAGATAGATACGGTTCGCGTAAAAATAGTGGAATAACATTAAATGGCGCACTTCGATTCTGTCGAACCCTCTGATTCGCCAGAGAGATTCTCCGCTGCCAAAGCGAGAACTTCCTCGCAAACCCGCTTGTAAACCCACGCGTTACCTTTTAACCTTTTTCTTCGAATACCAACTAGCAATTTGTTATTCGTAACGCCTTCTAATAAACAAACTTCTAACTCGAAAGAGCAAGCATTCCTGGCCGAAAACGGTCGCATCGTATCCATCTCGTCTTCCATACAATCTTCCGTTTCTCCTTGAAGGATGAATCTACGCAAAGAATTTTAATCGTAAAAAATACTGTTTGAATCGTTTATCAAATCTTTTCGTACATTACTTACCCTTTTTGATGGCACATGATTCCTTTGCGACGCAGTGCACGACGCAGTTGCGAGAGTACGTATCTGGGGTCGTCGCTAGACGTTGACGACACGTTACAAAGGCCCTGCAACAAAAATAATATCGATATAAGATATTTCAAATAAAGACACTTCGATTCGATTAAAAAATTTAACTAAATACAAACTTTTCCAGATAGTATATTAGGTTGATCAGGATCGATATTCTCGTTCTTTGCGCGTCTCTTGGGTGTAAGGACGCAACGCACGCGATTCAATCCACGTTCCAAACCCATTATTACTTTTCTTGCGCTCCCTGGTGTAGACGACGGTGTTCCTCTAAAAATTAATTCTTTCCTTTAACCATTTCTCGGCCGAACGCGTCATCGATGGTTGATATACTTCGATCTCACGTTCTATTATTTTATTCTTATTATTATAATCGTAAAAACTTACTTTGAATCGGATACCGGAGTATTGGTGGGAGTAGAAACGATTCTATCTTTTTCCGCGGTCCTTTTTACAGGGACTGTAAATAATTATCTCTATTACCTATTATATAAATTCCAATAAAGTTAGTATCGTGCAAAAAGCATAGTGTTAAAAGGAACTGTAAAAAAAAAAAGAACGAGGTAAGGAATAGTAAAAAGGTATTATACCTTTTAGAAAGGAGTTGGGATAAAGAATTCTTACAGGCAACTATTTCTAGTTCCAAATTGTGTTTGTTCGCAAGTCGTTGCTCTTCTCTTACTAATTATCTGCTTTTCACACAACTACAGCAATTAATGGCACTTGGAAACTTTCATTAAAGTTTCTAATTAGGTGGCTACCATCGCCTAATTAGAAATAAACTTTAGAAAATATATTATAAAACTAAGTACCATGTCTGTAATGAAACTCAAATACACCTAACAACTTGTTCCATGACAAAGGACAGTTACTATAAATTAAGTTTTATCTAATACATCGTATTAAAATCAAACGATCTAATTCAATTTTTTAATAGAAATTATTAAGAGAATAGCATAAAAATAAGTAAAGTATTGTATAAGATACCAGGAGAACATATGTCGTCCGCTTCTTTACTTCGAAGTCGTTTTCTTCCAGGTACATGTGGTTCCATAAAATTGTTGGCTATACAATAATAAACCAGAAAATAACAATTATACAATGTTTTTATCTAGAGTGCGTAGCAAAATGTTACCATAATAGTAATAGTTTACCCGTTTCAGGCGTTTTTGGCAAAACATCATAGGTGGCCTCTAATACTGGCGATTTTCTAGGTTTGCTTCTTGGAGAATAATCAAGTTTAGTTATAAGATTATTCATCCCTCCTTCGCACTGTAAATAATAAGATATAAAATAACTTTGAGTAATTTCCTAATATACGAGTAATCGACAATATACTCTACCCCTGTTTTAAAATGAGTCTTTGCAGAGGATGATATTCGAAGCGAAAGTCCACGAAGTTTTCTATCTAAAAGTAAAAGATACGTGGAAGTCTTGTAATCGGTTCTATCACTTTTTACAAGTTTATTCCATATATCTGGAGCTTGTTCGCCACATATCGCGGACATAGTACTTAACACGTCTTCGTCTTGTTCAAACTGAAAACGCATCATTTTTATTAAAACGTATGGCACACTAATAACGATTTTAAAGTTTGCTTTTCATTTACATTGGTCTTATGAACAAACGAAACAGGATTGAGGAATCCTGCTGTAATCCATGGATGATTACACAATTCTTGTATAGTAATTCGTTTTTTTGGATCTATTTGTAACATTGCCCTTATCAATCTTCTACTGCTACTCGACAACCAACTTGGTTCGTCGTATTTGCCGCTCTAAAATCATAATACTATTTATCAATTTCCCAGTGAAACTGAATAAAAATAAAAGACTTACAAGTATTTTTCTATACAAATTCTCTATACTGTTATCATCGAACGGAAGAAAACCACAAAGTAACGCATATAGAAGTACTCCCATACTCCAAATATCTACTTCTGAACCTATATAACAAATGTAACGAATTTATTCTAGGAGTAAGGATAACAGCTAAATTTTAAGAACATATTGTATACCTAAGTATTTTTTCCCTAATATGAGTTCTGGCGCAGCATACGTCGGAGAACCGCACGATGTTTGTAAATGGGATTCTATTCCATTCTTTGGTTTCGCGCACAGACCAAAATCTATCAGTTTTAAATTCTCTTCCCTGTCTAGCAGAACGTTCTCCTAGGTATAAAACAATATTGCTCGCCATGTCCACAAATATTCAAACACAATAGAAACATAACTTACTGGTTTCAAGTCACGATGAGCATATCCTAAACTATGTAAATACGTTACAGCGGATACAATTTGACGAAAGAACTTTCGTGATTCTGTTTCAGAGAGTCTATTTTTTTCAACTACAAATAAAAACAGGTATAATCTTAGAACAATTTTCTTTTAACTGCAAAATGGTAAAGGAAAATTATAAAATACTACCGATCGAATTATAAAATATGTATAATATTACCTATGTGATCGAATAATTCTCCACCCGAACAATACTCCATCACCATAAAATAATGGGTCTCTGTTTCTATCACTTGATACAATCTACAGATGTGTTGATGTAATAAAGTTTTCAATGCCTCAACTTCTAGTTTTACTCTAGGTAAGTCGTCCTGGAAATTAAAAAAACGTATTTCACTGATATTGCACGTATTTATTAAATTTTAAAAGGCCACTTACGCCCAGCGCCGTTTTGTCCATTATTTTAATAGCAACCTTCTCACCGGTCGCTATGTGCGTAGCAAGCTTTACTTTTGCAAAACCTCCGCTTCCGATAGTCTTTTCCAAATCGTACAAACCTTTTAACGCGGCATATCGCACCATCGTAACAAATTTGTGACAATATTAACTACAAATGTAAATTACGCGCTGTCAATCATACCACTTTTAAACTCACGATTCCTAACGTAAACAATTTTCGAATGCCAATCGAAAATTTCGATTATCGAAATGGAGCGTCATAGATTATTAGCCTGTCGTCGGCACTACCAATATAAAAGTACCAACCAGTCACCAGATGGCAGACCGGTGCCTAAAGGAAACTGCCTCTATTTCGCCACAGACGGCAGCACCGTTCGTTTTTTTAGTGATACTTTGCTGCTGTCTCTATTTCGTGCGTAAGTTGGCAACCGCGATACTGCGCGCTTTTCGCTGGCCTGCACCGCAGTGTGATCAGATTTAGCATAATTGAGTGCATCGACGTCGACACGAAAAACGACGAACTTCCTTAACGTCTAACGAAGTAGTGGGAAAAGTTGACATCAGAACGTGCCGCACGAGCCACATGTTACGCGGGTCAGCACTTCATGCAGCTTCGGGAAATCGATAAAGAACGCGAATGGGAGCCTTTCCTTCTTGACCTTGAACAGCTGCCGTCCTCGCATCAATGGCATACAATTTCGAATCTCGACTGCCCAGGTATTTTTACGTATCGAGCTATATAGTCGATATAAGCAAAGTCTATAATGGAGAAAAAATTTTTCAATAGACTTTGCTTACATTGAATTCATCCAATGGACTCCCATTGATGGTCTTTATCGATTTCCCAAAGTTGCGCGAAATACCGAGCTCACGTGATATGGCTCGTGCGCCCCCACCACTCCGTTAAACGTTAAGGAAGTTCGTCGTTTCTAGTATCTGTTATGAACCTTTTAAACATTTTGGAATATTTTTAATCATTCTTGATTTATTGTAACAGTTTCCAAGTAATTACCGATGCATTTTCGTGGAGCGTGCGCGAAAATTGCGTTACATCTCAAAACAACATCAATATTCCACTAACCTAAAACAGTGTCTTTTTAAAGAGTAATTTTTTTTTAGAAACTAATGCATGTATTATTAGCTGTATTTAATTTATGAAATATTGGTGTTATTGTATCTACTATCATTATTGGTGTACTTAAGGAGTAGTCATTATATACATATACAAAAATCTGTGTAATTTTGTATACTCTATACATACCCAGGAGACGTAAAAAACTTTATATGATGTCATCTAGAATAATTTATAATTTTATGCGGAGGACAATATGTGAAAATAAACGAATAGTTCATATATTAAAAGACTCATCGAAATTTTATTCTCAACGTTATAATTTGTTTGTAAATCATTCGTATTTGGAACGAAATCGGAACCTCGTAATATTTAAAAGATTTAAAAGCAGAAAACAAGCTTCGGAACATGTAATTAAGACAACATTATTTGATTTTAATGTTTTATACAAAAAAAAGTAAGTATATTTACATGTTTGTGGATGGACATTTTTTAGGAAGATAGCGATGAAGATGAAGACGAATCGTTAGAAGTAGCTGATTACTTACAAACAAAAAATTCAAAACTAATTAAAGCTACAGTACCTTCCCTCCGTTTAGATGCTATTGCTAAAGTAGGATTTGGACTATCTCGCACGTATGTTACTATTGTTTGTTTCTTAAAATTGTGTTAAGCATATAGATGAATTCAACTGTTTGATACAAAAAATGTTGAGAGTTAAGGTTTTAATTCGTTAAGTATTATATAGAAAATTATAAACATACTTATGCAATTTATAATTTCAAATTGCAGTAATTCACATTTTTAGTATTACAACAGTATTAAATTAATTTTCAATCGATATGTTTAGCATTATGACACCAGTATTGATTGTATACATTATAATTAACATCACAATGCTGAATAACAGCTACCTATTGTTTAAACATAAAATAAATATCTGTACAATATTACTTCTTGTGTACAAAATTAATGTAAACATTGATTCTAAGTTTTATTTGTTATAGTAAGATAGAAGAAGCATTTTATAATAGCAATATTCGAGTCAATGGAGAAAAATGTTTAAAAAAAAGTGTACTGGTAAGAACATTTTTATAAGAAACAAAATTATATGCTATTGTAGAAGGATTCATTGTATTTTAACTGCGTAGGTAAAGGTTGAGGATGAAATTGATTTAATCACTGGCAGAAGTCCTAATAATTCTAATTTCTTGATCATACATCGTTGTATTGTATTATCATTCAAATCAACTTCAAATGGTATTATCGCAAAATTGCTTAGAAATAAGTCTTTATTAATTGAGGATTATGCTAATCCATGGAATGGTGTGATCAATTAATGCTGGAAGAAACTATTAGATGTAAAATAGTTATGTAATATGTATATCCAATTTATGATATACTTTTTTATGTTATAAAATATATAAATATACCAATTCACCGCATAGTTTTAATAATTTATTCTGATTTTTTTTAGGTAATTATAATTTTTAAATAATTCGTAAATAATTGAATGCAAAGGTTATGAAAAGATATAAATGTATTATATTTAATGTATGTTATCTATACAGAATAATGTTTGTCCATGCTTTATTAGAGATGTGTCTTTGACAATGTATTTTGTATAATTTTAGTGCACTAAAAAGAGAATGATGGATGAGCGTTCGGTTTAAAATTTTCTTTCATAAAAAATTTGTTATAAATGTTGCAATTAAAAAAAAAAATTGGTAATACATGTACTTACATAAGATACACAAAGTATTCCACTTAATGATAAGTTATTTAAATCTTCCAATACTTTCGTAACGTTGAATTTATTTTTGATTTCCTACAAAAAAGATTATTTTGATAAAGTTTGTATTATTATTAAATATACATACATAAAGTTACGTATAACGTATTTACCTCTAAAACATGTTTTTTATCATCGTTATACAAAAAAGGTAAAAGAGCAGCAGCTAAATGTGGTTGTATAGATTGAAAGCAATATTTTATAATTTCATTGAAACATAAAACATGTACAACAGGGCACGAATACAAAAGTTGTAATGCTTCTATACAACTATCAATTTGTTCCAAGGTCGGATGAACATTCATTTTTCTAAAAGGTTCAGAAATTATTACTTGCCACCCTGATATATATCCATTACAGTTTACAATAGCACTTATACTTCGTGTTTGCAGTAAGATCTTTTTTAGTTCGTTAACCTGAAAGACAATAGATTTAATATGATGTCATTGTTTGTGTATATTTAAAAAAATATGATTTAAGTATATACCATTAATAATTTAGCTAATTGTGTTAAATTTTTATCCCATAATGCGTAGTCATATATTTCAAAATCTATGCAGATTTGTGCAATAACAACAAGTGCCTGGGTCGAGTAATTTTGTGTTTTCCATAAAATTTGTACCAGTTCATGCTTGGAACATGTTTCAAATGCATTTATACTGTAACCTATTCCCAATGATTCCAATCTACCTATATACTTTAGAGATTTCATATAATTTCTGGAATACAATTAATTAAGCATAATGAATAAAGTTGTCGATATAACATTAGAGAAGTTACAAACACATAATAATTAAGTATTAGTATGTACATTAACCATGCAATACCTGATTGTTCGAATATCACGTTTAGTTAAATCTTCTAATTTAGCTACATCAAGTATAGATTGTAACACGTGAAGAGCTCTGTAACGTGTTTCAGGATTATAATCTTCATTACTATCATCAAAAACTATGTTTATAAGAAAGTTAGCTGACAATTCAAGATTTCCATGTTCTAGAATATAACGTGCCCTAAAGATACATTGGATATAATTAAACACTTTACATTACATCAATTAAAAAAATGATATACCAATTATATTAGTCTACCTTAATAAATTATCATTAGAAGTTGTATTTGGCTCGGAATTTATCGTTGAAAATGCATCCGTAATGCTATGATTAAATCTCCCATATTTATTTTCTGGTTGCAGCCACTCTTGTAATAATTCCACCCATAGTTTTACCATATTGATAGAAAACAACTGACTGAGAGAATTGACCGCCGAATTTATATCAGGTCTATGATCAATTACATATTTATACCTTTGTGGTATACTTTCATCTGTGTACAATTCCCGAACCAGCTTGCGCGAATCTCCAATTAATGATAGATAGTTCGCCTTTCCTAAGCCATGCGTACGTAAAACATGTTCCGACGTAAAATATAAATACTTGAATTTTATTTTCTAAAACGAAACATTTGAACAAATTAAATCGCTACACATGTAGGTTGTAGCTCGTTCTTAAGGTCGGTTGTTTGTATCTTTCTGTAGAAAGCTGTGCGAAGGGACTTCCAGACCAATGCGAACATTTTTCAACTAATTCCGGTAATCTGACAAAAAATATTTAAATAAAAATTGATCAAATTGCAATAAAAAAAATATTTTTTGCTAAAAAAAATTGAGATCATCCTTATTTTCTTTAAATCAGTCGCCACGAAATATTCGCATTGGTTTAGGAACTTCCCAAGTTCCTAGAATCACCCTACCTCTAGCATTCCCTCTTCAAATGTAGTAGATTTCTGAGTATATATTTGAGCATATTTATAACATTCTTCGACTGCTGCCACTTGGTCAGCACCTGATGAAAATAAAAATTATTTCATTTAAATTCTTTATAGTACTTATTAATCCAAGTATAATAATGCATTCGCAATCAAAATTACGCGCGATACCTGGAGGAGTATGATTCACAACGTAATATAACGCTGCTGTGCCATAGTATAATGCTTTTGGATCATTCATTTGCTCAATGCATTTCATTATATCGCTCAATAAACTACTATTTTTTGACCAAACACTCCATTTATCTGTTTTATGTTTATTCCCCCAAGTATTATTTACTTCTCCCTTAATAGCCAATGTACATATAATATGTGGTTGTAATTTAAGAGTAGGAGCAATATTTAACCATTTTTTGTAACTTTTTAGATTTAATTCTGGAGCTGAAAGTTAACTTAATATTAAATTTAACTATCTAGACAGAAATAATCAATATTATACCATAAAAAAAGTCTTACTTATAAGTGTCCATAAATCAACTTTAGGCAAAAAAGGTAATCGCCATTCTGCTATAGGTGGTAGACATGTATATCCTGGATTAAGATGCATCCACTCGTCGTGTTCTATTTGAGTATGTTGACTAGAAAAGTCATGTAAAATAATATATCAGAAAGAAAAAAATTTAATGTAGAAATTAACTTTTTCATTATATTGAATCATTAAATAATATCATTAAATAATATCATTAAAAAATATTAATTACCTAATACGAGTATAATTTTGTAGAAAACGAAAATAATTTCTATTTTCAATTTTCCGATCTTCAATAAGATCCATAAGGATTATAAATATTTCATAATGATAAAAATTAATCTGAAACAACGAATACATAAATAGTTTTGAAAATATTAGCCATATAATATTTTGATAGCTTTGATTATTGTATTCATACTTGTGAATAAACAGTGTTGATACAGTTTGTTAAAGCAGTTTTGTCTGAAATTTTAGCAGCTACAATGCTACACTTTTTTTTTAGTTCATTTACTTCGTCTTCGTCAATGTGTAATTCTGAAAATACAGTAACATTTAATATTAAAAATATGTACGAAAACCATAGTCATCAAACCATAGTCACCTTTCCTTCCATTAAGATTGCTTATGCGTAATTTTGGATTCCATGTTTTTACTATTGTTTCTAGATAAAGTAGCAAACAATCTTGCTCATCAAAGCCAAAATCATGGGAAAATTGTTGGAATAAAGACACTAAATCATCACCATTGTAATTCATAATGCGTTGCAATATTTCTCTCTTACATTGAGTATCACTTGTTAAAATCTCTATAAATATATTTAGTTATAAATACATGTTTTGGGAATTTAATATAATAAGAACTTAATTTGAGTAATAAATTGGTTCGAACCTTTATATGAAACAGAATATTTTGATAACTTTTGTGCCCAATGGTGTAATGTTTTGTTATCTTGGTATGTTTGCATGATCGCTTCATTTTTTGTCAAACGAAAATATTCATATCCAAGCACCGATACTCGTAAGTGTCGGGTACAATTAGATTGCAATCTAAAAAAAAACGTGTCCTCGTAATTAAATTCAGATGTATTGGCTACTAACGTAGTGTATGCACATTTAAAATCTTTAATGATTAATTCACTTACAATTTACAAGCAGCAGAAAACCATTTACATGCCATCGACTCGGGTAACATAAACAAACACGACAGACCAAGATGAACATCAAATGTTCGTGTACTTGCTAATTTTTTTAATAGTACTGTTATAAAATGGTAGTATAGTAATTGAGTTTCTGTTAATAAAGTGGTATTCATATCTGGTATAATGCAAATACTAAAATACAATGTCTTAATAATTTGCAGTAAAGAATAATCATTGTGTCCCACTTTTAAATTCTTCATTGTATCGAGCAATTCCTTCAACAGTTCTTGTATATTTAGCTATATAAAAATATAATAATATTATTTATTTCGAAATAATAAATAATATATTTTAGATTTTTTTCGTACATTTGCTTAGTGTCAATCAGAGATAGGCGAAATTTCATTATGAAAATTTACTATGCAGTTATATTTAGAATATTCGGTAAAGTATCTTACTCGTTTGTAATATAAATATATATTACCTGTTTGGAACTTAGATCAGCTTTATTTATCACTGTACATTTTCCATCTATAGTGTAAACAAAATAAAAAATTATACCCACAGTTATACTTAATATTGTTGCTATTCTTATTAACTACAATTTACCTAATTCTGATTTGACCATGTAAAGCTTCTGTATAGAAATTACATCTCTAAATACTGGTAGTAACAATTCATCTGCGGCAATAGCTAAATCTTTATATATTGTATATAATTTCCAATTTGCTATTGGAATATTCTCTTGCATTGTATTCGTTTCATTTGAACTGTGTACAGTATTTTTGTTAAAGCAGTCTTGAAACAAGTTTACACAGACAAGTAATGACAACATGGACGGTAATTTATCTAAAACATGTTTAAATAATTAATAAAAAGTAACGATTTATGTAATAAATCATTGTTTAAAACAATTTTGAAATTGATTACGTTAAACATACTAAAGCTTTTTGAATATATAAAATATCTACATACCATCTGAACAAATGCATAATGTTGCAGAAATTAAATTCTGAACATTTACCATCATGTCTGAATCCATTTTGGCATACTGTAGCATTAACAAACACATTTTATGTATATATTGACATTCCTCTGGCATTAAATGTAACTGTTTTCCTGTGTATCTAAGTAAAAGCAAGTATTTTATAATAAAAACATATTTTCTATTCGTTTGAATTTTGTGCACACAATATGAAAATTCATTTACCTGCTGAAATGTTTAAATATATCTATATTCTTTGTCCATTCTACCAACAAAGATATAGCATCAAGCCTTTGTAACCGAAGTAAGTCTGCTATTTTAATAACATTTTTGTACAGAATAGGTACATAATTAACGCTTTCTGTATCTAGTGTAACATTATTATATAAAATTATAAACGTTGTCAATTTTTGAACTTATAGCATAATAATTTTTTTTCTTACCGTTGCATACTTTTTCAACATAATTCCGTAATATTAGCGATTTTTCAGTGTGATATTCTTCGAATGTAATATTAATTTGAAATTGTTTTTTTAACAGATACATCGACTTCACTTCGTCTATACTAATAACAATACTGTTACAGTAATGTGACCTGGTCTTACATTTTGTTGAAATTTCTTTTAATTGTAATTTCACCCAACCCAATATTTCAATGTAATGTTCAAGGGATTCGGGTAAAATCTGAATACCAATTATAAATATATTAATCTCAAATTACAAACCTTTTTAAAAGGTAAAATATTTTAAAGTACCTTTAAAGTTAAACTGGCCGTTACGTAATTAATGATTTGTATACAACAATATAATAAAATATCTGTTTCCAATGAATCCAAAATATTTATTACTTTTTCTATATTCCTACAAAAAGAATTGCCATAAATTTAAAAAATCGAATCATAAAATATATTACCTTTTATTAAATTATCTTACCCTTTAGACAAGTAATAGATTGTACAAGATGAAAACGCTCTTTTTTTTAATAATGGATCATTTTTAGTTACTTGTTGGATATGAGAGATCATGTCCTCATGATTTTCTTTTATTATACGGGATATCAATTTCTTTAGAATGAAAAAGTAAAAGTAAAATCGAAGATTATTTCATAAATGTTATTAATGCTTACTCACATCATTTATACCAATGCGCTCATATCCATATTTCTTTAATATAAGCTTTATTGACATATAATTGTATTCCATTTTTATTTGAAATGCTAAAACATGGTCCAAGTTGCTGCTTGTTTCTGCTAAAGTTACTATAGTGGAACTCCATGGAACAAAAGCTTTCTTCAATACCTCTAATGTTTGTTGTAATCTAGTCTGTAGCATGTAAGGATTTAATTAGAATACATTACATACAAACGTGGCATACGAATTTTTAAATATTTTTATAAATATACCTCTACATTTTGAATCAAACCAATAATAACAACCACCCTTTTTTCCCATGGAGCTTCTTCGCCAGACCACCAATTTTTAGAGTTTTGTATAATTTTCTATGAGAATATAATTACAATAAAAATGTTTGTTGCTTAATCATATAACAAACATACCTGTATGTATGAAGAAAAGACATGATCATTTTGTAATGAATTATTTAGCATGTATTGTCCCAAAAATGTATTTACAAATTCTGGAATTGTATCTATGTATATTTTATTCAATAAGATATGAGACACTTCAATAGGGTCTCGAATATATGAATCCAGAGATATTGTTAATCTAAAATTTTTAATTAATATGTGCATTATTTTAATTAATATATTTAATTTTTCTAAATTATTAAGAAACGTTACAGTACCTATAATTGGCTTTTAATTGTTTGACATCAGACATAGCTTGTATCAAAAGAACAAATTGTTTTAAATCTGAATCTTTACTCAAATATTCATAGTGAGCATACAGCGGCTGATCATTTTCTTCAATTCGTAACAATCGTATAAACTTATTCGCAAAATCAATTCCATTCTGAGGCCACGTGATACGATGTAATTTTTCAAATGATTTGACTTTTTTACATCCCCAGAGAATAATTACACCGATTGCGCCAGGAATAGAAGATAGTAAAGTCGGTATAAAATATGACAACCATGGCCAAAGAGCAGATAGTGATATTTGTTCAGGAATAAGTGTAAAAATGTTTTCTACAGTTTCTACAGATACATGTTTTATAATGTCTGAAAAATGTCTAGTCCAGATTAGAGTAGCTGCATCAAGTTCACCCTGTGCACATCAAATTTTATCAGTTTAACGATACATATCCTATGATATGTAATATTGTGAAGTTATACCATGCGAAATCGGACACTTTTTAGAATAATATATATTGTAGTTTTTTACTGTACAGTTCCTCAATACCTTACCAAACGTAAATGAGTTTTATATTCTTCCATAAAATTTGCTCGTGAAAATTTTATCCATTCTTTCATAGTATCATCATCATAGCATTTAGAATCCTTTTGATATCCCCAAATCATGTGAAATGTTTCTAATTTGTGCAATATGTTGTTAATTAAAAACAAAAGATTTAAATATTCATTGTTCTTCGTTTTCTAAAACCAATTATACGAACAATTTAATATAAAAATTGAAAAAAGTTATGACAAATATGTATTATTATTTAAAACTCAATTACTGATATATTTTCTATTATTCTTTCGCGTGCGTATAAATAAATTTTCCTCATTTGCTTATATTCTGGTAGAAGTGCTTTGCTACAACATTCTACTATGTATTGCACATTTTCTATTTTATCAAATATATTAAGAAGAGCATCAAATTGAATCGGATCGGATGACTTCTTTGCCCAAGGTCCAAGTTGTGACAAATATAATGCCACTTTTGCGCAATAAATTGGTTCCGAGGATAAATTAAATTTGTTTGCAAAAGTTTCAGCTACATCAAACTGTTCCCTCCTCAATAAGCGTTGTAATTGACATTCAGGAAGATTTTCTGATACAGTTTTTACTCTAATTGTATCTGTGTATTTAGTATTGTTTTTAAAATCATTAACACCTTCTAAAAATAAAATTACTTCATCGCAAGGATCCATAATTTCAACAAGGTATGTTGTAATAGGTACACTTATTTGAAACTTCTGTTCAAATTCTGCATAAAAAGAAAAAATCAAATATTAATATAGAAAACGAAAATAAAATATACATATATATGTATATATTATACAGGGTGTTCGGCCACCTCTAGCAAAAATTTTAATGAGCGATAGTAGAGGCCAAAATAAGACGAAAATCAAGAATACTAATTTGTTGATGGAAGCTTCGTTAAAAAGTTATTAACAATTAAATTCAAAAATTTCAAATCGTTCTGGAAAAATTATTTTCGGTTGCGGGGGTCAACTACAATCATTTTTGGTGAGTACACATACCTCCGAAATCCTATCTACTTTCGAGAAAAAAAAAAATCGAGTAGGTGCTGAAATTTTTCGGCGAAAAAAAATTTTTCAGATCGTTTTAAAAAAATTATTTTCGGTTGCGGGGATCAATTACAATCATTTTTTATCATTACACATACCTCCGAAATTGTACGCACTTTCGAGAAAAAAATTCCTTACTGAAAATCCAATTAGGTGCCTAAATTTTTCAACGGAGAAAAAAAATTGCAAATCGTTGTGGAAAAATTATTTTCGGTTGCGGGGGTCAATTTCAATCAGTTTTTGTCATTACACATACCCACGAAATCCTGCCCACTTTCGAGAAAAAAAATAGAGAAGGTGTGAAATTATTCGAGAAAATTAAAAAATTGCAAATCGTTGTGGAAAAATTATTTTCGGTTGTAGGGTTCAATTACAGTCATTTTTGGTGAATAGACATACCCCCGAAATCTTGCGCATTTTCGAGAAAAAAATTCAGTAAGGGCGGCACTTTAAACGTTAATAACTTTTTAACGAAGCTTCCATCAACAAATTGGTATTCTTGATTTTCGTCTTATTTTGGCCTCTACTATCGCTCATTAAAATTTTTGCTAGAGGTGGCCGAACACCCTGTATATAGGATTTCATACCTGGAAATGAAAGAACACCTAAAGTCCGTGTAGTACATTCATCATCATTTGTTGTCAGAACAAGTATTTGACATAAGCTATTATCATTATTTTCAATTATTGCAAAATCTGACACAGGTTTGTTATATACTTTTAAACCAAGTAAAGTTTGAGGACAAACTATATTTAACATGTTATCTGTACGTAAGCATAGCATTGACCTAAAATTATTAGAGAAAATAATCTATTATCAGCAATTACAATATTAATGTTACCATAAAGTAATGTATTTCTTCTTTAATAACTTACATATGATTTTTAAAAAATTTTACTGCGGTATAATTGTATTGCATCATATTAAAATTATTGTATAGTTCACTGGGCCACATGAACAACATATTTGTACATATCATAGCCACAGATATTTCTTCATTTATGACACCAATAGTAGCATATATTACCTATTAAAATTTCATATTAAAATATTTAGTTAGTTTACTTTAAAATTTTGTTTACCTCATCATAAAAAAATCCTTTGAATAGCTGTATACACTGAACTTGGTCTATCAGTTCTTTTACTGTAACATCGGATCCATGAAAAATATTATCTTCAATAAGTTTAACATTAAACTTTGATACTCTGAAATATAATCACAAATTGCAGTTTGAAATTATATTTAATTACTCAATAATTTGTTATAATTACCTATAAATGGCACCATTTTTTGCAACAAGATATATATTGATATAATTGTTGCATTCATTTTGTAAAAATATTGCTTCTATGGTATTTGCGTTCTTTGTTATATTTCTGTGTATAAGAATAAATAAATTTTTTATAACTTTTATAATTTTATAAAACAGCGGTGTAACATTATAATGTAACATTTTAAACTTACTTTGTGAAAATAACTTGTCCCTTAGTTAATAAATGGAGACAATATAAAATTCCATTTGATAGTACAACAAATAGGAAAGAACCATTTTCGGAGATGCAATAACATATTACTGGTGAGTCAAAACTGATGCTTAATAATATTTCCTCGCAAGTTTCATTCTTAAATATTGTAATTGACTTATCAATTGCTACACAAAGTCTTGAGTAATGCACAGATGCCAAAACATTTGGCTCCTCTATTGCCTTAGAAAATTATAGAATTGTTATACGTATATTTGATACATGTAATACAAATAATACTTATTGATAAATTTGCTGAATATACTTTATAGAAGATAAAAACGCATATGTTTATTTTAAACAAACCTCTTATTTTATAACAAACATTTTTGTAAATGTTTCAAAATCGTTACCATCACATAATACAAACAAATACCGCGATATTTTAAATATATGATAAGACGACAACATTAAATTAAGAAATACTGAACCAGATTAAATATATTATATTTAAAATATTGAAATGTAATCGGTAACCGTTAAGTTCAACGTAGATGAAATTGTCACGGTCAGAAATTAGAACGAACAATAAAGTTACCTTTCCGTCCGATTGTATTATGGCAATTGTAGAAGTTTCATACAATGAACCATTGTTTTCTGCTATTGTTCGTGTACCAAAATTCACAGTTTCTTCATCTTTATCAAATCCTGATGACACTTTGTTCCACAATGCCATATTACCCGCAAAACGTTTATGAAAGTTTTAACCGCCACTAAACCCAATGGCGCCATTGGCGCCAAAACTGGCCATACTGGACCACGCTGCGTATGAGTCCTGTTGTAAACACTCAAGGTTAAGCAACATAACTTGTAGACTTCCATTAATTTGTAAAAATATTTTACGTATAAAATGGCATCTGCACAAAGTTTGAATGTAAATAACAATGCAGACGATACATTTAAAATCTTAATTGCAACGGATATTCACCTTGGTTATGATTATAACAAAAAGAGGGGTTGGTTTTTAAAATTTTATTTGAAAATTTTCTTCTGTTATATTCATTGTATAAAAACCTATGTAACATCTACTTTTTTATAATTTTATTAAAATTTATTAATTGATACAAGGGATGGATTCAGAAGATAGTTTTGTAACATTTGAAGAAATACTTCAACATGGTAAAAAGCATGAAGTAGATTTTATACTCCTTGGTGGAGATTTATTTCATGATACCAAACCATCGCAAACTGCAATAATAAAATGTATGGAATTAATGAGAAAATACTGCTTAGGTCCTAGGTCAGCATAATTAAAACATGCGATAAACAATATAGTTTATTCCATATATATCTTAATTATATTGATCTTTACTAGAGAAATCAAGATAAAATTCTTGAGTGATCCTGAAGTTATATTCCAACATTGCACTTATAAAACTGTGAATTATGAAGATCCAAATTTAAATATCAGTATGCCAATATTTTCTATTCATGGCAACCATGATGATCCAAGTAAGAAACATAATGTTTATATTTATGTTTCAAACTTGATGTTTCATTAATTGCTCTCAATAAATTTTTCTACCAATAAATCTACAGGTTTTGGAGCTGTTGGATCAATGGATTTATTGTCAGTATCTGGTCTAATAAATTATTTTGGAAAATGGACAGACCTCACTAAAATAACTATTCCCCCATTAGTAATAAAAAAGGGAAAAACCTGTATTGCACTTTATGGTTTAAGTTACATAAATGATCAAAGGCTATCTCGATTATTGAGAGATTATAAGGTAAACCTATTATTAAATTCATTAATGCAATATATTAAACATTGAATTAATGGAAACAACTTCCTTTTAAAGGTGGATATGTTACAACCAGAAAATATACCAAATTGTTTTAATATACTTGTTCTACACCAAAACCGTGTACAACATGGTAGTGAATATGCACATATTTCACAAAATAAGTTTCCTGATTTTCTTAATCTTATTATATGGGGACATGAACATGAATGCCGTATTACACCAGAATTTGTTACAGATACGGAATATTTTGTTTCCCAACCAGGTATATTATTTATTAGTTGCGTTATGCTATGTTGTATCAAGTTTTTATATCTTATAATTATAAATTCCTATTTTAGGAAGTTCCATAGCAACTTCTTTGTGCGAAGCTGAAGCAAAACCTAAACATATCGGTCTCCTAAGCATAAAAGATATGAAATTTAAAATGAAAAAAATAAAGTTGCAAACTGTCAGACCATTTGTCTTTGATAATTTAATACTTTGCGATCAGAATATATCAGCAAATTACAATCAATCGCTGTCAGAGTCTGTGTATACTTTTGTTGATGATTACATTGAAAATGTGCTTGTACCTAAAGCTGCTGAGCAACTAACAAATCATCCTAAGCAACCTATTCAACCTTTGATTCGCTTAAGAATATTTTATAGTAGCGATGATGAAATATTTGATGAGATTACGTAAGATTTAATATTAACTAAAATTTGATTACTTAACAACATAATCTGTTGTTAGTATTATTTTATGATATTTTGCAGATTGGTACAGAAATACTGTGATGAAATTGCTAATCCCATGGATATGATAGTATTTCGTAAAGAAAGCAGTCGTAGTAAAAATTCAAAAGGGAATATAGATGTTAATGATGATTTAGATGATATGGCACAAGCCCTCGCCTATGATAATGTAAGCAGAAACCTAATTATATTACTTTTTTTTTTAATGCAAAACATTTTATTTTCGTGATTAGGAGGACAATCAAGATTGGAACAAAACCGTACAAGGAGGAATAAAGAAGCATTTTAGTTCAGATTCAAATAAAGATGTCTTAACAGTACTATCAGTCAATGGCTTAAATGAAGCATTAAATCGGTTTGTTGGTTCAGGTGACACAGATGCTTTTAAAGGTATAATAAGGTAAAGTATTTGTAACACAATAATGTATAATTTATTTATTCAAAAGTATTACGTGCACATTATTTCGGATTGTTATATTTTGTATTCAGGCATCAAATGAAAAAAACTATGGCACATTTGGAAACCTGTAATGTCGATGACACTGAAAGTATAATCAAAGAAATTAAAAATTTTCGTGACAAAAGAAGGGAAAAAGAGGAAGAGGAACAACAGGAGGTATATTTAGAGTGTTATGCTTGAGACAAGTCACTTGAATAATTCCTTTAGTTTTGGTAATAGATAAACCAAACAAGATTTGTTTGAAACATTTTTGTCTATTGCCAAAAGTAAATGAATCATCTAGATGACAAGTACCTCAACCTGCAAATTAAACAAATTGTTGCAATGGAAATACATAGAGCTGAATCTTATCCATTACATAATTCTATGTCTTACATATTATTTTGTAGATAAAAAAAATGTTCAGTAATACAAAAAAGACAACTAGAAAAACTGCAGATACTGAAATTGTCATTAGTAGCGACGAAGGTGAACAAATACAAAAAATACCCGCAAAAGCAAAGCGAGGTAGAGGTACGGCAATTAGAGGCAGAGGTTCACGAGAACATGGTCCTGGTAAAACTAACGCGAACGTAAAAAATACTTTAGATATAACAACTACAACACGAAATCCCAAAACTACTAAACAAACCAAACAGGTACATTTAAAAAATACTTTAAATTACGAAATCACTGTATCTATTTTGTTGTAACTATTAACTATTTCATTACATTGTTTTTCGTTAGACTCAGAGTAAGTTAAAAAATTTCATGCCCACATCAATGAGCCAAACTAATTTATCTAAAACCAGCTATTATCTTCAATCGGATGATTCTGATTAAAATATAAATTAAGCAACCAGATTTGTAAAAAATTATAATATTTTGATTGAAATACATATATTTTGTATATTTATTAAGGTCGATATATTTACTTTCCTACTTTACGCCTAAACTTGATCTATGACTTAAAAATCTTTACCACACAGTTACCCACTCATTTATAATCCACATCACATGTAAAAACAACAATTTAAAATAAACATTTTGTTAAATAAATTATACTTAAATCGTAAATTATTTAATAGGTAAATATTAAAGAACCAAGAATTTCTAGTCAATTATATGATTACTATTTATATTTCGAGTTTCGATATTATCGAAATTTGAATCGACCATTGCGCACCGGAAGAGACAGTTCTTTAGACTTCCTGCTCTGAGCGTGTTGTATCGGAGAGATTTTCAGTAAGTCAAATTTACACGTATTATATAGAAAAACTTGATGTTATATGAAAAATAACCGGTCGAATGAATAAAGCAAACATGTTTAAATAAATCTCGATTAAAATCTCTTGATCATATTCGTTTTAATGTCACGATGCGATTGGATGAACTTTATGTCGTGAAACATTTGTGCATTTTGAACGTTGTCAGAGCATAACCTTAAAATAAATTCAAACTGTTTACGTTCGTTGATTTTAAGTGAAACAGTCAAGTGAAAACAAAATATATAGGTTGTTATTAAAGTGTATGTTAAAAAAAGTGAAAAATTAATAATTTCTACAGAAATGCCGCCAAAAAGAGGAAAAGTACAAAAGGAAGAAGTACAGGTTTCCCTTGGACCTCAACTTCGTGAAGGTGAAGTCGTTTTCGGTGTTGCTCACATTTTTGCGAGTTTTAACGATACTTTCGTTCATGTCACCGATCTCTCTGGAAGGTATGTACGAAAACAATGATAGACATTAGTGATCGATACTTGATATATACAAACTCACTGTTGCTTATAGAGAAACCATTGCACGAGTTACTGGTGGAATGAAAGTCAAAGCAGATCGTGACGAAGCTTCCCCATATGCTGCTATGCTTGCTGCTCAAGTATGTTTTCTATTTACAGTATCCAAAATACAATTTATAGGTTCACATTCAGGCAGCACCTAATTGATTGTTAGTAATTATAGGAGCGTTCATGTATGTGGAATATCAATTTTCTTTCCTGATTGGAAATGTGGTTGTACGAATCACATTCTCCTAGCTTGAAAGATACATGCCATTCATAGCATATATTTAATTCCAATAATCAATATCAAATTTAACATTTGTGAATACTTTTGGCATTAATAGGATGTAGCAGAAAAGTGTAAATCCTTAGGGATCACAGCACTTCACATTAAATTAAGAGCTACAGGAGGAAACAAGACGAAAACGCCTGGTCCAGGAGCACAATCTGCTTTACGTGCGCTTGCCCGTTCTAGCATGAAGATTGGTCGTATAGAAGATGTCACGCCAATTCCATCTGATTCTACGCGTAGGAAGGGTGGTCGTCGTGGACGAAGACTGTGAATTCTGGTTTTATGCGAGATTTATTAACTTTCAAAAATAAATATTAAAAAAACATTTTTGTATTATATTATTATATACTTCTATTCTATATTAATAGCCTTTGATCAAAATTGAAACTTGAAATATATACGTACAAATAATAGCATTAGCAACAAATATTTGTCAAGTAACTTGTGCATCAAAAACAAAATTAATCAATTTAGACAAACTACACTTGCAGTTCGCTATCTCGCTCTTACATACATATAATTTGAAGTATAATTTCTTTTATAATGCATACAATCTCTTATTAAATATTTATTTCATTTTAGATTAACAATAAAACAAATTAAATAGATTAATCAGTATTAATTCTAAAATTAATATAAATTAATTAGACGATTTTAATTGCAACGTGTGAAAGTAGTTTCACGCGATATTTAGAAATTTGATGTATTGTTACATTGTTTATATTGTAATTTTATTAATTTGTAAATGTTAGTATCTGTGACAAACATTAAGCACTGCCAACAAGAGTTCCCACAGTTAAATACAGTTGAACTTTGAGATCCAGTTTTTTCGGTGCTTTATGTTCTAATGTTGTGATTGTGTTCACATATCCATACTGCATAACAAATCCAATTATGACAGGTTCATTTTCAGTCTCCTTTAAATTTTCATACGGTGTTACATCTAATTTTATAATTGCCTTGTTTGCTTTTCGCCAGATCACGAGCCTTTGAAAGTAATTACATTTTAAAACATGTAATGAGATATAATCGTAAATACAACGTTAAAAGATTAAAATGACAAAATGCATACTTAGTATCATCTTGAAAGTTATGAGTATCTCCCGTATAATCATACTCAGCGGCATCGTCTCTAGGAGGAAGTATAAGAGGACGTTGTGGCAAAAGTACACTTGCGTTTGCACTAATTTTTATAGGCTTGGTTTCTTCTACTATAGGCACTTGTCGTACAATCCACGGTAATAAATTTGGTGACACGGGAGCCTATAATTTAATATCATTAAAAATAATTTTTCTTAATACTATATTTTATAACAAAGTATAAAGCATTTACCTGAGGTATGTTCTCCTGTTTAACATCTTCTTTCTCGCTTGTAACATCTTCTGAGGTCATTGGCGTGTCCAATGGTAACAATACTACTTGAGTTTGATGTTGAGTTGGATTACAAAATTTTAAATATAATTCACTTTTTTTGCCTGGATGAAGTGGTTCGCAAACAACAACTCTTACCTCCGGCACATGATAACTGAAACATAAATATGTTGTAATAGTAACGTATTTATATAAAGAATAAAAAAACAAAATGCGCAAATTATATCAGGAACTTACAATGCAGCTAACTGAATCTTAAACTTTATAGACTGTACGCAAAGATCTAGTTTACTAAGAATATGATCACAAGCACGACAGCGCTGTGATCTCCTGATTAAGTACTGCCGATTCTGCGGACGTAGTTCATTCACTTTCTCTGCTTGCGCATCCAGATGTTGCAGTCTTTGTTCTAATGTGGTAACTACATTTGAAAATCATTTTAAAAATTTCATGTAAGATAATGTTCTATTGATATTTTGTTAATTTTATTTTAAATAACTGCTTACTCTTAGTTATGTCTACAGGATCTGTAAAAATTTCGGCTGGTAATTCCTCTACCTCTTCGCTAGCAACGGATGGCGGAGGATGATCGTTTGATTGTGTCCGCGTCGGAGTTTCCGCAGCCTGACCAATACGTTTACGAACCATAGCAGATGTTATAGTAAACATGGCCTAAATATTAAAAAAAAAACAAATTACACACACAGTTTAAAAAAAAATATTTTTTAAATCAACGTTAGTTAAACGCTTTACCATTGGCATGAAAGGACGTGTCGGACGATTCTTCTTCTCGGATTGTTGCTTTTCTATCGAAGCTAATATTTTATGATAATCAATTAAAGCATTAATACGACTGGTATGTGGATTTTCTTGTTCAGGCCAACCTCCAGTAGCTGAATAAGATGTTATCAGTTTAATACATCATTTTATGTGTTTTAACACTCGGACAGCGTTCGGACCCCACTCTAGACTAGAACTAGACTCAAAACTAGAAGTTAGAAACTGTAATGGACAATAGAAATCAGTAAACATAATCAATTACGTACAATTTTATGTGAGAAACGGATCCCATACCGCCGTCCGAGTGTTAAAAATAATTTGTTATCATTACTAGTTTAATATGGTATTTTGGTAAAACATACCTACAGACTGATCTGGAATACCAGCATCTCTAGAGGTCCATCTGCATAATGAACAAAATAAATAATAAACTTTCTTTGGTGTTGTTTTAACATCTTTAACATCTTCTCTTTCTGCAGATGTAACTCTTACAGGCACATGGCCGGCTCTTGTGGATAAAGTATGAAAACAGCAAGGACATTCGAAACAGTTTGAACACCTGTTAACGTATTACTTTGATCAATACGTAATACAATCATATATATGCTACTTAATAATATACAATTTAACATGTTTGCTCCATGTCTACAGACTCTGGTCAGAGCCACTTTTACATTTGTACCGTTCATTATTTATAAATTTTTTAATGTCATTAATTTATACGAGTAAGATAATTAATACATTTTATTCATATCTTATATAATGTTTAAAGTAATAAATGCTAACCGACTCCGATCAGAGTAGTCGGACATGTCAATCAATATTAAATTTTACACTTTACTTCTTGACAACTTAAACTCACTTGTTTTTTTTAAGACGGGCCTCTGACAATGGATAATTCTCCATACAGTTAGGGCAATAATGAGAATCAACCTATTACAATAATAAAAAGATTATACGCATAATAAAAAGGAAACTACACAAACTACTAAACTGATTACTGTACAGAAAATACGTACCTCTTGACAGAGACAGTAACCACACCGAATTTTCGAACAATACCTACAGTAATAAATCTTATAAATTGGTTTCAAGGATCCACAGTTACAAACGTAACGTACATAATCGGGTTGATTCAGATACGCCATGATCGAAGAGTTCGTTTCGATGTTATTTAAAAAAATACATCAGCTCTATACGTCACTTTGGCAAATGTGTTTTCCACACTTTCTTCAGGCCATCTTTATTCACGTTGCTCACCTGTCAATATACGCGCGCACACATTGTGGGATTGCGGTTGACATCACGCACACATATATTTCCACCGTTTGAAAAAAACATTACACATTGCAGTATCGTACACCAAACGTAATCTTTTTCTATTTTTAATCGACTGTTATTTATACTTTACAAAAGAGTTTTAAAGTATCTTTAAAAAAGAGGTGGGTTGAAACATAATTTTTAACTACGCAAAACCTAAATCCGAAACTTTGCGAAGTCTCGAAACTCGAAACTCGAAACTCTAGATCTAAAGATAAAGGCTTATTTTCCCCCTATGTGTTTCTAAAAACTATTCATTTTATCGGGAATATGGTTAAAATTATAACAAATTCTTTTTTACAGAAAAAGAATCCATTTATCGAATGCAATTAAAGTAGCTGATTTCTTACAAGGTTGGCACTTCAGTTTTATGATACCAAATCTTGTAAGACGAAATGTCTAATGGACACTGTCTATTTTGTTATCTGTACATTGTCTGTGATATTTAAAATGGCATTGCCTGGAAAGAGAGTATTCGTTACTGTTGGCACAACCAAATTTGACGAATTAATTGAAACAGTACTTAATTCAGAAATTTTAGAGGTAAAACAAATGAAACTGCTAATTTCTTTTTTTTTTTTTAATTATTATAGCAGAGACTATATATTTTTGCATTATTATTTTAGGCATTATCATCAAAAGGATATAATGAGCTAATCCTTCAAATTGGTAAAACTTCATATGTACCAAATTGCATACCATGTTGTGGTTTCATTACCATAGAATATTTCACTATAAGTCCAAATATACTTGAACATGTAAAAGCTACAGATCTTGTTATAAGTCATGCAGGGGCGGGAAGTATTCTTGATTCTTTGGAAAATAAAAAGAATTTGATTGTGGTTGTAAACCAGAATCTAATGGACAATCATCAATTGGAATTAGCTGAACAACTTTACATAGATAAACATTTATATTACTGTACCTGCGAAACCTTGTCACATACTATCCAAACAATGGATTTTAGTTCATTGAAACCTTTTGTTAATTACAGAAATACACACATTGCTGATCAAATAAACCAAATAATGGGGTTTTGAACATAAAAAGAACTTTATAGAATTAAAATATTTCATTATGGCCATAAGCTGTTTTATTTTTCATTATGAGTATATATTATAATAGTTTCCATTATTTATTACAACAGATATAGATTTGGTAAAATTTACAATAGTAATTAGAGTTGCTTAAATAACTGTTTCTTAAAATTATATCATATTGACATAGAAAATTTATAATTTCAAGTTAAGGAAAACAGACAGGATAACGGCAGTTAACGTTTTCTTAAATACTTTCTAAATTATCTTTGAATGACTTCTACTGTGAAAAAAAAGCTATTTTGTAAACATATTTCATGGACACTGTACAGAGTTGAAATAAATTTTCTTCATTGAGAAAAGGTTCGTTTCTTTCGCTTCGTAAGCTTCGTCTTTGGGAGTACAGTAGTAGTCAGGCAATCTTGCATGACAATGAACATAGTCATTGAATTATTATCAATTCGAAGAATTTTTATATTCTAAAGCATTATACTGTTTCGTTTGTTAGATGATCGCAGAATTATTTATACTTTCAATTTATTTTATGAAGATACGTGCACATGGGGCAAACTACATATATTTATAGTAGCATGTGTTTTTTAATTACAGATCAAACCAAGACGCGTCATTTCTTTTAAGAGTACATTTCCCATTTGTGCTGGGCTCTTTGTCACTATTACACCAGCCTGCAAAAAAATATTTTGCACGTGACAAAAATAATACAAACTGTGGCGCGAATTTAAATTTAACATAATCTCTACACGAGCAACCACATATAAACCCTAATGATACCTTTTCAAGTGCATTGATTTTATCTTGAGCGCCTCCTTTTCCACCTGAAATAATTGCACCAGCATGGCCCATTCTTCGTCCCGGTGGAGCAGTAAGACCAGCAATAAATGACACCACTGGTTTAGCTTTACCACCCTAAAATTACACCATACATTACCGAAACATATTAATACGTTAATATTGCAATAATTTATAGTTACAAGGACATGAATTGTTCCTGGATATTAGGATTACTGGGGGGGAAAAGAATGATCATTTATAAGGATAGGATGGGACTTGGATACCAGTAAATCAGAACAGCAACCAACAGTATTTTTTTCAATGAGATATTCTGCTGCTGATTCTTCTGCGCTTCCACCAATTTCACCAATCATTATAATACCATCACAATCTGGGTCCCTGAGAAACACGTCTAAGCAATCGATAAAGTCCGTTCCATTAAATGGATCGCCTCCAATTCCAACACAAAGAGTTTGCCCAAGACCAGCCTTAAAGTAAAATTTTCTCGTATTATTCGTAACGTATATCATTAGAAAACTGTATAAACGTAATGTTTACTTTATAGAGAAATTTGCAAAACAATATTATTTGCTTACAAGGGTTGTTTGATTCACAGCCTCATATGTTAAAGTTCCAGACCTTGATACAATACCAACTTTTCCTTTCTGATGTATATGTCCTGGCATAATACCTATTTTACACTGAAATAGTAATACAGTATAAGCAGTTAGCACATTGCAATTTACATAATACATGTATCAAATGATATACGGATAACATTCATAGTTTTGTGTTACTTGTTCTGTGCAGTAGAAGATATGAAAATTAAAAACCATTGAGAAATTTCTAATATCTGTACCTGTTCTGGAGCTATTATTCCAGGACAATTTGGCCCAATAAGACGAGATTTGTTTTGCTCCAAAAGTCGCCTTTTGACTTTGACCATATCATGTTGGGGAATACCTTCAGTAATACATACAATTAATGGCATTTCAGCATCTATTGCCTCCATGATAGCTGCCGCCGCAGCTGGTGGAGGTACATAAATTACAGTTGCACTAGCACCAGTGGCATCTTTTGCCTATAAAAGAGAAAAGATCTATTCATACAGTTAGCACTATTGCAAGTTTGATTTTTCATATGTATAATATATAAAAATTTATATAAAAAACAGAAAATAAAATTTGCAAACAAACACTGTTTACCAACCTCTTTAACACTTTTAAAGACAGGTTTTCCAAGGTGTTCGCTACCTGCCTTTTTAGGGTTGACACCACCTACTAATTTAGTACCATAGTCGATAGCTTGTTGACTATGAAATGTTCCTTGTTTGCCAGTAAAACCTTGACATATGACTTTGGTATTGGAATCAATCTTTAAGTTTTTTCTAGTTTCTGTATAATTGAACCTTACTTGGGAGCGTAATAAATTTCCACAATTTCTAACTGAAACATAAAAAGAGTAATTTATTTATACTAATGTACATAAGATATGAAACAAGATTTCAAAGTGAAATACACGATAACAGCAATTTTTATTTGAATATATTACTAGTATCAAGTTTCAATGAGTGTCAAAAAAAAAAAAAAAAGAAAGAAGTATATATTTCATAGCATTGATATATTTCAAATCAGTATTGTCTTCAGCCAGATTTATTAATAGTAACAATATCAAATTTCTTCACTTTTGGGTCAAGGTTCATTGACTAAACATCATCCAATGATGTCTAATTGATTGGTATGACATTTGCTATGACAGAACAGAGAATTAATCATGTTATTGAACTAAATACGTACAAACACTGTTTCTAATATTCAAAGGAAATAATACTAACATAGATAGCATTAATATATAAATATATACGAGCAGGAAAACATATATAAAATCAAAAAAGCATTATGAGATAAGTTTTTATTGCAAAGACAAAAAGGATAGAAATTTAATATAAAAATTACATAATGTTCCATTGATAATTAAAGTAGAACGAATCTATGTTGGGAATGAAATTATTTGAGAGCACATTTTTTAGTAGAAATTGAATTACGATTAATTATATACGTCCTTACATAATGAAGTTTTAACGCAAACGCGGGATGTCAGGGGTATTTTTAGTTTCTAACACAAGAGCACATTTGACGAAAGATAACGGGAAAAAAGGGGCGTGAAAGATCTTAAGTATTTTTCAAATATTTATTCAAAATTTTCAAGAATTGCAAGATATCTTTTTAATGTTGAAACATACACGATGACATCCTAGTCTTACCTGTGAATTTTGAAAATGTTCTGACAGCCACAGCCATTTTTTAATTGATATTTCTGCTAAAAAAGTTAAAGAACAAAACTGTATTATTGGACAACCACCATTAAGAGGACTAACTTCTGTGGACTGACGAGAAGGTCGAGTCCGAAAGAAAGTACACGGGCAAAGTGCACTTATCGCATGTATGTATGGAAGTTCGTACTACGTACCTGTTTCCACGATTTCGTTACTTGTCATTAAATGACAGGAACGTTGACTATCAAACTGATTGGTCAAGTACTTCGTAAAGCTTCTCCTTCGGTCCGATTTCCAATACAGAAATTTTACCATAGAGATTGTAGTTTCATATATAGTTATGAGCGCAAGGAAAATTATTATCTTAATAAATTGTTCGGGTATTAGAAAATTTAGCTCATCTTTAACGCTACACTGAAATCTCAAGACGAATTTTTCAGAAACATTATACGTGTTCACAATTTCAAGAAATATTAGAAGTGCAATTTTCCTAGAATCGTGACCGTTTCATTGGCAGAAAAATAGAGAAGTTAGCTTTGCCTCTATATGTACATATACTTTGAAATATGTGAGATTCATTCATGAAATTCTTACGTACATTTTAAATAAAAATATGCAATGCGGAAATTAAGATAATGTGGCAGGAAAAGGAGAAAAGTAAATTATGAGGTACAAGGTGTTCTATGTATGAATATTAAATTCGTGTTACGACAGTGGGAAGAAACATAATGGTTACATAGTTTTATGCCACGGAAAGGTAGCATGCTGCATAATCAACGGAGATCACCTAAAATTGAGCGTAGTTAACGAAAGTTACGGTTGATGGTATCGTAGTTGCCAAATGTAGATTACCGAAAGAAAGTCTACGTAAATTCTTTTTCGATTTTATTGTTATTACTGACATAAGAATTTAATTATATCGAAATTTTTATACGGATTAAAAATTTGTTGAAATTCCAAGTGATCCAATTACGAGACTAATATTGACGCATATAGATAGTGTGACATGAATCATAGAGAGATATTGGAAATAAATATCTTGATAAAAATGACGTGGTGAAGAGAGCCTTATCGTTTTACAAAATCATCGACGAAATTGCAAGGTATACATACTTTCGTAACATTTAATGGTTTCGATTGATATTGTTTCAAATGTTTGTAAATGGAAAAATAATATCTGCATGAAATGCCGATTTTGTTCGATATATCTTCGCGACAAAAAAATTATTTTCCGAAATTTAGAAACTCTATTCGATCATACTACTTCCAACATAATTCGCTTGACATTACTGTGTGTTATGCGATGTAAAATTATTCCTCGTCACATCGTTGGCTAATATTCATAAATTGTTTAAATATACCTATGTCACTTATGAAAGTGGAAAGAAGTATTAACAAATCGATAGGAAATAAAAATGATACGCGTATAATTTTTATTCGAGTATTATATTCCTGGAGTTCTTTAGTATTTTAATTTATTTTATCGTTCTATAACGAATAATTTAATCAAATCTATAATTCTTTATACCGAGTTCAATTGTGCAAAGACAAGAGATGTGTTTCAATGTATTTATTTCATAAATGTATGCTGAGTATAAGACAGAGATATTTTTTAATTTGTATAGTATTATCTCTTTGATAATATTTTCTGCATTCATATTAATTACTTTATAAGCAATCAGTGATTAATTAAATACATAAAATAGGATGGAAGAAAGTACAAGCTCTGAAAAAGTTTGGTATAAAACAAAAGCAGAAGAACAAAGTAGTTTATATCATGGAGAATCTGCCGCACAGTCCGTTGTAGAAGCTAATTCAACTTCTTTAGCAGATATATTTGATACAGCATTTACATCTACAGTCGATCCATCTCCACAGTCAAGATTTACTTCAGGTATAAATAAAATTTATATACAAAGACATCTGATTTAGTGAAATTATTAAACTGAAATGTCATATATTTATACAACAATAATATCTTTGCAGCAGCTAACGAGATGGAATATGAACATTTATTTGCGGAAAGCGATATAGAAGAATCTGAACTAGCACCTATTAATCCTTACATTAATCCACCGCACCATTCTAGTTCGGATAGTAATTTTGTTTTTGGAAGTTATTTAACTGGACCTGAAACAGTAGGAGATTCTCATGAATATTGGCAACCTGAACGCTTAAATTGTAATATGTGCCAAAACAGACACGAACGAAGCGTAAAACAGGAATCTCATAACCGACAGATAGGAAATGCATGCGAAGAGAGAGCTTGTGAAAATTATCGTAAAAGAATTTTACATGAACGGGATCCACCAGTAAGGCATAAAAGTAAAAAGCACGAGGAACATAAATCGTTAAGCAGTCAACAGTCTGATAGCTTAAGTATAGCTGGACCATCAAGATTATCAGATAATGTTTTTAATAGGTATGAGGTATCAATACCTCAAAGTTTGGTTTTGCTTACTAATAATCGAATCTCATTGTTCTATCTTTATTTTCAGCACAACTAGATCAACAGTCAATGATGGAAATGTTTTAAACAGAGTTATGCAGAATATTGAAAATGATAGTGCCAATGAATCTAATAATTTATACCATCCAATTTTGCCAAATACAATTAATTCACAGCAACATTCTACTCGTACAAGTATAATTATTTTTTCTATCGTTAATATTAAATAAACCAAAGGCAAAGTATGTATACATATATGGCAATGTCTATCGTATTAGTTTTTGTGTTACATGTAAAGAGGGATGGGTAAAATGTATATCGATAAGTTTTCAAATAACAAATACAATGTGTTAGGCTGTTCATTATTATTATTATTAGTTAAATGTATAAGTAATAAGGTACTTTCATGGATTATATTTGATTTCATTGAGTAGGACATGATGATACACCGTCAGCACCAGATCTACAATTAGATTGGTCCTCCAGCAGTGATGATGCCACTAGTAGTGATGATGAAGATGGGTCTGTTGAAGTTCTTGGAACAGTAAATCACAATAATAAAGTAAGAAAGTTAAATTATATTGAAATGGAATCTACATACATTTTACATTAATTGTTTATAGTATAGTATATTTATTTAGCAGAATACTGTACAAAATAATGAAGAAAGTAATCGTCCAGTAACTGTGGTTGATTTAACTGTGGAATCAGATGAAGAACATACACCATCTATTCCAACAACTTCGGTAGTAAATCCATGGACAACAGATAATGTACATAGGTAAAAGTTATTTAACATTTTATTGTACATGGACGTCATTCATATTTTCTATAATTTGTTGATTTTAATAATTATTTTAGCGGGAACAACACTTACTGCATGCATGGATCACCAGACTACATGTATCATAACCGATGTATGCACCACAATTATAGAATTCCAATTCCAGTTATACCTGTAGGATATGGTCAACTGCCAGGTAAAACGTTTATTTGAACCGTTCAATGATCGTTCAAATTTTTAGTAATATTATATTTGATAAATATGATAATATTTATAATACATAAAAGAATTTTTTTATAGATGCTCCTACGGGAATGTCAAGAACACGAATGCCCCCGATGCATGAAAGATTATGGGTTATCCAACAACGCACGCAAGAATCGCATAGGAGACGGCTCTATGCACGATCTTCGTCACATTACACGTTAGTATTACACAAATAAATTCAACGGTTCACATTATACAGTAACTTTCGTATTTAATAGCACTACGTCGTGTGGTCCACATATGCATCAAGCAACTCATCATACTTGTAATAATGGAAACTCTAATACTTCGAATAATCGTTGCAATGGTTCGGAAAATATGACATATGCAGAAAATTATCCTCCACCCCCAATTTTGCCACCTCCGCAACAACCTACTGTTTATAGTCATCCAGAAGCTAGAGGTCCATCAAGTTACAGTACAAATTGTCCTGTGCAACCTGTAATGGTAATTCGATACCCTACAAAGTTGTACTACTTAATCTTAGCTTTGAACATAGAAGTTTCAAATTATGTTTTATTCAAAATTAAATATTTTAATAACGTTGAATTTTTTTAGGAACTATTAGAAATGGAACCAATGCCACCAGTAATGTTGCCTTCGATGCCGGTTCATCAATATGTGCATCATCACATGTACCATCATTATGGTCCGCGTCAAAGACCGCCACCAGTCCCGCATATCAGTTTTCATCCACATATGGTATGTTTTATGTTACGATACATTTATTGAACACGTTAATATGTATATTACACGCGTATTTTGTAACATGTAGTTAGAGTCTGGTGCTCGTGATATGTCATTGCGTCTGGAAGGTTATATGAGCCTCGTCGATTTGCGGCGTATGGCTCATATTAGTTGCGGAGCAACGCAGGAGTCAATTGAAAATCATACATTCCCTCATAAGTACAAACGGGTAATGAATTACAAATATATTAATGTACATGTCTGTTATCATATTATCACCATATTATTGTATATCTTTGCAGGTTAAAAAAGTCGAGAATGGCGAAGACGCTATTGAGAAATGCACAATTTGTTTGTCTGAATTTGAAGACTGTGAAAGTGTCAGGTATATATTATTTTGTATACAAAAACCTATTTTGTTATAGATTATGTTTAGTGACTATGTTTCCTCTTAATTTATTTTACAGGAGACTTCCATGTATGCATTTATTTCACATAGACTGTGTCGATCAGTGGTTGTGCACTAATAAACGCTGTCCTATATGTCGAGTGGATATTGAAACTTTTCTACACAAGGAGCTTGCCACCACTGCATAGTTTAAGATCCATTTTAATCATCTCTTTTCTTGTTTAAGTATGATCAGGTAATATTCGCATTTTATAAAATACTTTAAAATGTCCTATTCATGGGTAAATCTTCTTCTGACACTACTATGAATGTTGGTATATAAATTTTACTGTGACTAATCAAAATATCAATAATTGAGCAGAACTAAGTTCCTGAAGTTGTAGGAGAGATTGTTTTGATTTAACATTATTATCCTTGTATTAATTTCATGGGTATTAATAATATTGTACATAAGAAACGTTAGGTTTGTTCATTATGCGTTATCGTATTAATGAAATTTTATTTTTTTTTTTCGACGATTTATTGCATATATAGTATTTCAAATGACAAGAAGTTTATTATATCAAGCATTTGAAGAGGTTAATGTCTTCACCATTTTTTGTACCCTACTGTTTTATTACGTGTGATAAAAGAAAAAAATGTTAATTATTGAAATCTTGAGGCAATTGCCAGTGTAGGAAACCTTTTTTAATTAAAAGAGAAAAAGGAAAAAAAACGTAAACTTATAAGAATCATGCAAAAGTACTTTATTCCCATGTTACAGTAATTCTACTGGGTGCTACATATATCCATATAAAGTCTATGTATACTAACCGTATTTTAATAATTTATGAAAATGTTGAAAACTACGATTGATACATAAACAATTCTTTGAGGCTATGTACATTTTCATAAGTTTTTATATTAAACAAGCTTTAAAAAGAAGTGTATTTAAATAATTCAAGGAATATATAAAAAAAAGTATTAAAATAATAAAGTCCGCTTTTTGTTAAATTTTTAAAATTCCGATATCGAATAAAAGAACTCCAAATTTTACAAATAGTTTAAAAGCTTTATAAAAAATTTAGTTAAGTCAGGAATGAAAAAGCATAATGAATAAATATAAAAATAATGTAGAAAAATTCTAAAAAGTAAGTATAGTTAAAGGAATACATACTGTTACTAATATCATGTGACGCTACTGTATATTATTATTGTATATATTAACATAGTAACATACATTATTGTGCAGTAGTATTACATAGAATAATTTTAGTAGATATTGACCATATATATTATAATTTTGTAACTTTAAGAATTTAAAACACTAATTGATCCGATTTACTTAACATGATATAATAATCTTCACAAAGAGTATTTGTGATTAAAGAAAAAGGAGCAGACTATTTTCACTCGTTCTTATACAAACAAACAATATAGATGCCTTTTCAAAGCGAAGATATCTGATAAAATGTCCTTGATTTTTATACTGAAAGAAAACATTAGCGTGATTAAGAATTCTCGTCTTATTATTAGCAGTAAGTATCGTATTTATGTGATGATTTTTCTGAGTGTAATATTAGAGAAAAAAAACCAGTATAATGTAAACACCAAACTAAGTTAACAATTGAAGGCTATCGAATTAACCATGCACAGCCTACATAGCAAAGCAAAGCTAAAGGCTTAAAAATTAAATAAATTAAAATTAAATACTCAATTATCTTTACCGAGTGGTAAGACGCATAAATTTTATGAAAATTAGACTACACTTTTCTTTAAAGAGTATATCAAAACATATTTATTTGAAAGTTGATTCTGGATACAATAAATGCTATTTGAATTAAACGCGAACATATATTTTGAGTCATAAGCATTCAGTGGAATCAAAGCTTTGCTATAATATATAAAGAAATTGTCGTAGAAGTCATTTACTGCACTGTGCAGGCCTTACATAATATTGGAATTGTAAATAGTTACATTAGATCGTAATGTAATCAAAATGACACTGAATCGTAGAAAGCAGCGATCAAGTTTATTATCACTGAACTTCCAAATATCCAAATACAAAGAGTGAATTGATAAGCTTCATGTTGTTACTATATCGAATCATAATCGTGAAACATGGTTCTGCATCATGTTTATAATATTTATAATCATTTCTATATGGAGAGCCAGCTTAAGGACGATGTATAATATTCTCAAAGTCAAATTAAACATTCTAAGAATGTTGCTGAAATTTAATTATCAGACATTAAATTGCTTCAAGTACATACAGTTAATATATTCAACAAACATTATAATAGTGACTTTTAAACTTGTATAAATTCTTTAACAAAAATAAAAGGTATCTTTTACCGTTTGATTGATTACAATCGATATACGTGGAATTTAATCTTTAATAGTTGTACGAGTATATCCAAAGTTGTAAAAAAAATGACTAGAATATTTACCACGGTGTTGTTTATTTGAACATCTTTGAACATAAAAGATACACTTTAATCAATTAAGATTTTATTTTAAACGTTTGATGTAAAAATTGTGTTTATACTTTTGTAATGATTTATTTAAATTAATGGTTCCTTTATGTTTTGAATATTACCAAAAGAATTTGAATGTTTATGTATCAAAATAGGCGAATAACTGAACAAACTAAATTTGTTGATTGTTCAGTATTTCTAATTAACACTACTATCATTAAGAAATTCTTGCTGCACTGCCATTGTTGACAATGACTCAAAGTAATTAGTAGAAAGTTCTTGCAAACACTTTTCCATCTTGCTTATCATTTAAATGGGCTTAAGTTAGCCAAGTTTATATCTCAGTATTTGAGATACTTTTAAATTATATGTTATACAAATGCAAATGCATGCAATTTAATTTGCATGTGATTTCTCAAAAAGAGTTATACTCCTAGAAATTAATGTTATAATTGTAGTATACACGTCTATGCTAAGCAGAAAATTTGAGTAAAAGGAATGCATGTATTTGTACTATGTTGACAAGCTGACTATGGAAAACTTTTTTCTCACATTTCCACTTAATTCGAACAAGTGGATACGTACCTTTATATAGTTATTAAATATGTACATTGAGAAACAATAATTTTATATACCTTCGTAAATTATAGGAATATAAATTGTATATGTTACTATAGGAATGTAATACAATGTTAAATGTATCAATTTATTGTTAAAATGTCAGAATATAAGTTATTCAAAATAAATGACATATGAGAAAGTAAAGTATAATTTTTACACATATTATATAAAAAGAACAGCGAGCAATTGATTCTTATAAGAAAACGATACACATTTAATAAATAATAGTTTAATCATTGGATTGATGATTTTGGGACCTTACATCCAATGTATTTTTTCTAGAGCCCCGTTACCATTTTCGTGTCATTCGCAACGTTACCAACAGATTCAGAAATGAATTTGAATCCCTTCCATAGTTTCTCAACTGACCGCCATCGAAAGTCCATAAGGTAAAAGGTGTATGGACTTATGGACTTTCGTGGCCGAATCTGACTACCATACCGACCTGAAAATTCGGAGGTGATTTTTGCGACCTCTTCAAATGGATGGCGGTCAGTTGAGAAACTCACTGAATTAGTGTGATAGGCAGCAGATTAGGTGCGTGTAAATGCATACGAGTTGAAAAGTACGAATTATTCGCGTTTCCTTGACTAGTTAAAGTTGTAAATAATTTGCTAAAATCAGTCTATCCGCGGTTTCTATCCGAGGTATCCCTCGGGTTCGTAAACAAGCTTCGCGAGACATCGGAGCTTCCCCCACCCCGCCGCCTAATTCGCGAGCGTTGCCGAGCACAGCGGACGGCCATCATTCCTACTTTGAAAATAAACATAGCAAGACGTGTCGAGACGTATCGGCGTTCCGCGACCGAGGTGCGTATTTCCAACCTGTTTATCCTTCCCGTATTACTACTCGCGTATTACTACTTACGATCTCTTGCAATACAGTCTCGATTTAACCATTACTTAATTATAATAATCGTTTGTGTACTTTAATGCATCGTTATTTCGTTTCTTTTACAGTCTCTTATTGGAATTCGAAATTAAGAAATAATAAGACTTATTGAAACCTCTCAAGACGTGTCGGCGTTTCGCGATCAACGAAGTACGTATTTCTAACCTTTTGCTATTTCCTCGTTATAATCAATCATTGTTTAATTATGATTTAATTTGTATTTTATTTCTGTTGCAGTCTCTGATTGAAATTCGATGCCATGGGATGTTTTATTGGCGCGTAAAGTACACCATAACAGATGGCAGACGAGTCGACATATTTTGGAGGGAATATTGGTAACGTTCAAACAATTACAACAAAAATTAACACCCATATTAATATTTATATATTTTTATTTCATTATGAAATCATTCGTTGCAAGCATGATCATAATTTTATAATCGGCCATTGTTAAGATAAATTATGAAAATCTTTGACAAACCTTTTATCCACTTCGATATAATATCGAAGTATACAGAAATGGCGTCGGTAGATATCGACGATAAATTGAAATAATTCATATTTAACTGTATTCTGATCGCGATTGAATATTTCCGAGTGTTATTTATTTAATTGATCGTTTATATTTCTTTATGAATTGTTGTAATTGCAATTTGCATATATATTTCGATGCAAGTTTAAGAAAACGTAGAAACCACGTAGTTGGAATATGCTATTAAAGCATAAATAATTAACAAACATTAATTTTTGCAAATTTCGGAATATTTATAAAAATTACGGGATATTCTAACGTTCGAGAAAGTAAACATAATCATGCTTACAACTCTAACTATGAAATTTAGTGATATAATATTTATAAATTGAATAATTACTTGTACGTAATTATTTTCGTAGATAATATTTTATCGTTGAAATTCTCACTGATTGAGAAAATTTCGCCTTCGTGGCATTGATCTTGTACGGGACAAACTATGTATACAACAGTACTAAGTAAAGCAGTATTTCTGTTGACGAACTCTTGTAAGAAGAAAAAAGAAAATCGATAGGCAAAGCACAGATGTGCTTGTTGTGTTTCTTGTCTCCTGTCCCTTTCTTTTCAGCTCTTTTCTTTCCAGGAAATTTGTTGGCCGCGCGCAATGCGGCCGGTAGATTCAATGATTGTACGTAGCAACAAGTTTGTTTCTCGGGGCAAAGTGACCCCGAGTACGTTATCGTTCGCGATGTTAGGCAAACGCGAGAATAGAAGCAGTGTTTCTTACGCGGTATTAAATTATTTCCAGAGCATCGTGGCTCTCCTTGTTTTCTCAATCGCGATAATAGAGTCATTTGTTCGCCGATTTCAATCCTCGGTCGCGGTAATCTAATTTAATATTTTCCAATCAAATTACTTATTTTTTCAATTTGAAATTTAAACTCCTCGTTACCGGAATTAGAGTCAGTGCATCACGGAAGAGGACTATTAGCCGATGCTCCAAGAGCAAACAATGTAAGTATAAATTTATACTTTGAAATTTTTAATTAAAAATCTCTACAGTTTCGACAATAGATTCTAATTGTTTTCTTACAGTTTTCTTACAGTTTCTGAACATGATCCTGGGAACCAGTAGCAGTACCCGGGGGGTATCGGGCGGTGGACCACGAGCGAACAACGTAAGTATAAATTTATACTTTGAAATTTGTTAATTAAAAACCTCTATAATTTTAACAATAGATTATAATTGCTTTCTTATTCTTTATAGCAGGACCATGCAGGGGGCTTTGATGACTTCCATCGGGCAGCAGCAGCATCATTATGCAGTCATCCCAGAGGCACAAGTTCATCACTCGTAAGTCGCATGCTATTTGTGTTCCTCTGGTCCCCAACCATGTTGTAGGATGAAAGATCCGAATCAACACGGGTGACCAGTTGTATACTTAGTATTTTTGACGAGTTAAGTGACCGCGGGTATGAAAAATACCCTGGAGTTATA